ACCTGGAGTCACCTGGTCACACCTGGCATCACCTGGAGTCACCTGGTCACACCTGGCATCACCTGGAGTCACCTGGTCACACCAGGAGTCACCTTGTCACACCTGGAGTCATCTGGAGTCATCTGGTCACACCTGGAGTCACCTGGTCACACCTGGAGTCACCTTGTCACACCTGGAGTCACCTTGTCACACCTGGAGTCACCTTGTCACACCTGGAGTCATCTGGAGTCACCTGGTCACACCTGGAGTCACCTGGAGTCACACCTACAGTCACCTGGAGTCACACCTACAGTCACCTGGAGTCACCTGGTCACACCTGGAGTCACCTGGTCACACCTGGTCACACCTACAGTCACCTGGTCACACCTACAGTCACCTGGTCACACCTACAGTCACCTGGTCACACCTGGAGTCACCTGGTCACACCTGGAGTCACGCCTACAGTCACCTGGAGTCACACCTACAGTCACCTGGAGTCACCTGGTCACACCTGCAGTCACCTGGTCCACCTGCAGTCACCTGGTCACACCTGCAGTCACCTGGTCACACCTGGTCACACCTGGAGTCATCTGGTCACACCTACAGTCACCTGGAGTCACAACTACAGTCACCTGGAGTCACCTGGAGTCACCTGGTCACACCTGGAGTCACCTGGTCACACCTGGAGTCACCTGGTCACACCTGGAGTCACCTGGTCACACCTGCAGTCACCTGGTCACACCTGGAGTCACCTGGTCACACCTGGAGTCACCTGGAGTCACCTGGTCACACCTGGAGTCACCTGGTCACACCTGGAGTCACCTGGTCACACCTGCAGTCACCTGGTCACACCTGCAGTCACCTGGTCACACCTGGTCACACCTGGAGTCATCTGGTCCTGTGCTGCAGACTGAGCAGCCCCGCCCTCTGCTGGTATTGGTTGTCTTTGGCCTCAGAGATCTTAGCAGACAGATCCAGAGTCTTCTCAAAGAAGTTCACCAGCGACTGCTCAGTCAGCAGCGAGGCCAGGATCTGAGCGTAGCTGACCGTCCACTCGCTCTCTGCAGCTGGACCTGTGCTGCTGTCCACGGCCTCAGAGCGCCTCGCTGCTGTCACCTCCTCCTGACTGCTGACCTCTGAGCCCTTCGTCTGTCGGTGACTGGCCTCACCGATTTGCAGCACCAGACTGGTAACAGTGGCGATGGCCTGGAAGAGGAGGTTCTCCTCCGGGTCATTGTGGAACATGCTGTAGAGCGTCTTGCAGAACTGGATGAACTCTCTCTGCGGGATGTGAACAGGATGTAAATGTGTCTTTAGAAGCACAGACTGTCTAATAGCCTATATGCCACGGTCATTAATGACGTATTTCTGGTAAAATTTTTGCCACGCTCCTCCCTTCCACTTCCTGCTTACTGCCTTTGTTTTTAGCGTTAGCTGCTAGTACTAGTCCGTGAAAAAGTCACAAAAGTTAAAGCATCTGTGATCTACTGGTATAAAACATGAGTTCTGTTGTGTGTCGTTGTGTCCACTAACCAGCAGGTACAATATAGAGTAGTTAGTTTTTATCCTTTTTCCTCTTGATGAGGAGGTGACAGCTGTGGATCATAGCATTACAGGGAAAACTTATCTTTAAAAGCTCACGCTTGTGTTTGTAATCAGCATTTCTAACCTGAGGATATTCAAGAGTCAGCATCAGAAATGAGAAGATGGAGGTTACAAAAGAGAAATGTACATTTATCCCCTTTTACTGCCAAGACCAGAGAGGAAAGACCTCCTCACAGCTAGCAGGAAGCTAACACAGCAGCCGGTACAGGTAGGTGTGTGTGTGTGTGTGTGTGTGTGTGTGTGCGTGCGTGCGTGCGTGCGTGCGTGCGTGCGTGCATTTGTGTTATACAGAGTATGAAATGTTTTTAGGCCACTTTGTCATGAGTTTTATGCAAAAGTAAAACCTTGTCAGAGTGTATATTACAGCGTAGACTAAAATCGAGTGACGAGCGCCCAACCTCCTCCTGATAATCATGTTTTCAGTTCACTAACGTCGGGGAAAACGATCCAAACCATACAAGTACCCATCAATTTAAAGCCCAGACTCTGCTCTTTCCAACAATATAAGTGTCACAGCTCTACGTGAAAAATTCACAGAACAAGCAGCCAAGGAATAGTGAAAAAGGTTAAATTCTGGAACCATAAACACAAACGTCTTTCCTTTGTTTTTATGTCTTTAATCCACTTTGGAGTGATTTTTTTCCACTTGTCTGGACCTGTACGTCTCCTGTGTTAATGTTGGTACATGTAATATGATAATTCTGTACTGTGGAGGTCATTAAGAGTCGTCAGGTGAAAAAATCTTTTTGCTAGCACTGTGTTAACCGTGAACCGGAAGTGATCGGAGTGGCACCAATTGCTGGGCCGGATGTCCGTGGCATATAGACTATTTCAGGTGTGTGGCAAAACTCACCTGATTCATGAGCGGCAGAGGTTTGTCCACATCCTTCTGCTTCTCTTTGCTGAGATCCCGCAACATCTGCTTCAGCTGCTCCTGGTAATCTCTGACTTCCTCGTCCCCCCCTGAAACAACAGCTTTGCTCTAATTAAATGGCCTCCACATACTCCATCTGAACTGCGCAGATCAACTCTCATTGTCACAGTGTTGCAGTGAGAATTGCCTCATTCAGTCTGCTGCTTCAAGTCTTCAAGTCCTTCTTGTCACAACAGAACTGTTCACCCCCTACGCATGGTCAGACAATTGTGGACGTGTGTTTTTAATGCTGAACGTCAGTGGTGGGTGGTGCTATTCTAAACACTGGTTCAGTTTCATTGCTTCCTGACTGTCAGTGGCAGTTAAAGTGGGTATGTTCTCTCGCGCTCTGCACAGGTCGAGATTTAATGTAAACAAAGTCGCAAACGTGACACGTAGCTCACCTGAGCATGAGTCTATAAATGACATGCAGGTGGTTACGTTCAGTCTCTTTGATCTTCTTGCGGTTTACCTGGCGTGCTTTGCAGGTTAATCGCTCCCGTAAGTCTGTGTTTCAGATCTTATCGGCTTCTGCAGGTCCTGAGAGGTAAGCACACATTTGTGTGGTTTAGCATCATCCTGCCTGTGACTTTTAGTCGGAGTGCTTTTAGCCCTCTAAGGCTGTGGTTGGCGTGTCTTAAGTTTTGTTTGTCGTAGTAGGAAGCGTGGTGGGTGTGTCCACGTTCGGATGATTCTGCTTCCAGCTTCGAAGGTGCAGGCTTGCATTTCCTCCACCCTGTCTCCAGGTGGGGAGGAGCGCGCAGCCGGTGAGCGGCCCAGGTTTTCTGACCGCATTCTGTGTTTCACAGCTCTCATTTGGACACCTTGACTCTGAACGCGCTCTTCAATTTCATTGAAGCTCTCGCTCAGTTTGCCGGATCGGCACGCACGTGCATGTGTGAGTTGCGCTCCTCAGTTATACTGAGGTTCTCACTCAGTTTACCTGACCAGAGGTGCAGTTAAAAAAATAACAATTAAGACTGATCACGTTCTTCAGTTTTATTGAAGTTCTCGCTCAGTCTACCTGACCAGTGGCAAAATTAAAGACTCTGATCGCGTTCTTCAGTTTTATTGAAGTTCTCGCTCATTTTTGGTCTGTGCATGCCTGCAATTTCCACTTCTGTGTTGGAATGACGGGATGCAATTCATGTAGGGCTCCCCTCCAGGTGGAGGACGGCAATGATCTGTGTCCCAAATGCCTGGGTGTGGGCCATCTCAGAGAGGCTCTGACTGACCCGTGCATTAACTACAGTATCTTGCCCTTCTCTGTAAGGGAGGACAGGCTGCGTCAGGTTGAGGGCCTCCTATTTTATGACAAACTACCGCCCTCAGGGATGCCTCTACCGTGTTCCAGGAGGCGAAGGGAGGCACCGATGGAAGAGCGCCGCGGTCCTAGAAGGAAGAAACTGCGACTAGAGCGTCCATCTCAGCAAGAAGTTGATTCTCTGAAGGCTGAGGTGGAGCAACTCAAAGCTCTGTTGGCAGCTCCAGTCCCTGTACCTGCTTCCCAGACATCATCCTGGGAGTCACGGGAGGATCTGGAGGAGGATATGATCTCCGTGAGGGCCTTCAATTCAGAGTTTCAGGCCCTCGGGGAGCAGAGGGACCCCTCTCCAAACCTTCAATATCAGGAGAGGGAACCCCTGAGTATGGAAGGTATTGATGGTTCAGGAAATTCCCTCAGGAGTTCAGTTAGCTCTCACTCAGGGGAGGAACCATGCCAGCTGCGAGCAATTATCATGGCAGCTTTGGCCAGGGTTGGTCTGGATGATGCTCCGGTGGCCCGTCCCATGGGGAACCCTTTTTTCCACCGGGCTCCAGCGGTCCCTCCATTTGAGGTTCCACCATCTCCAGCCTTCTTGAGGGGCTCCAGTGCTGCTGGGATGATCCTAGGCGCTTCTCCCACCACGGCAGGGATGCGAGAATCCTGGCAGCCGTGCGTAATCCTGAGAGTCATGGTCTGGGTTGCATGCCCCCCAGTCGATCACTGTATCGCCTCATTGGTGCTCTCTCCAGATGAGGCGCTAAAGGAGAAGGCTCGCTGTCTAAGCGCAACTTTTTGTGCCAAGTCTACGATATTGTCGCCCGCATGGCACGCATTGGCAATTCACAGTCTGTTCTTTTGTTGGCACAGTCCCAGATGCTGCAGCCGGGTATGGCGGGGGCAGCACTTGGTGACACGAATGACACAGCCCTTCAAGCCTTTGGGCTTATGTCTAGGGAGCTTGGTCGGTTGATGTCCACGCTGGTGGTCACACGACGCCAGGTTTAGTTGGCTCAAGCTCTGATCTCTCATTACTGAAGGCAGACCTTGTGTAGGCTGCCAGTGGGTCCTGGTCAGCTGTTCGGGTCGGAGGCCAAGAGGGCGCTGGAGCGCCGTCGGCAATCCAGTCATGCCTCAGAAGCTTGGGGTGGGCATAGTGCGGCCATGGGATCCCCCGCTCCACAAAAAAGACGGCGTGATGTGCGAGAGCTGCTATGTCAGTTTTGGACTGTCACCCAGCAGAGACGGGCCGTGGCAGGTGCATGGCGTCTGCCTCGGGCGGAACAGTCTACACTTTATGGGTCTCCAGCAGGGCAACAGAGAAGTCGGCGGCCGCCCAGAGGCCGGAGCTGACGTCAGACTACATCCTGAGGGCTGCAGGCCGATGGCGGGACGGTTTTCACAGCTGCACCTGACCTACTGGGAGGCCCATTGCAGAAATGCATGGGTTTTAAGAACCATGTCTGAAGGGTACAAGTTGCAGTTCTGCCGTCGGTCCCCACCCCCATCAGGGGTCAAGGTGACTTCGGTCCCAGATCCTGCACAAGCTCTGGTCTTGTTGCAGGAAATAGAAACCCTCCTAGAAAAAATGGCCATAGTGGTGGTTCCGCCACATTTACGGGCCAACGGGTTTTATTCAACCCATTTCCTAATCCCAAAAAAGGACGCTTCCCCGCGGCCAGTGTTGGAAGCTGAACCGTTTTTTGAAGGTTCTACCGTTTTGCATGCTCCGCACATGCGACGTCCTTCAGACAATCAGTCGAGGAGAGTGGTTCACCTCGATAGATTTAAAGGACGTGTACTTCCATGTCCCAATCTACCCAGAACACAGGAAGTACCTGCGGTTTGCCTACTGTGGCGTCGCCTATCAGTTTACAGTTCAACCATTTGGGCTCACCCTGGCCCCTTGGATCTTCACGAGGTGCATGAAGGCAGTCTTGAGCCCTCTGTGCTTGTCAGGATTAAAAATCCTGCCTTACATCGATGACTGGCTCGTCTGCACCCCGTCATTGCAGGAGGCAGATCGGGCAACATCCAAAATTCTGGCACATGTCGAGGCCCTGGGAATGACCGTGAACCTCCAGAAGAGTTCTCTGATCCCGGCTCAGTAGGCGTTCTTTATTGGCATAGCCCTGGATTCGATGGCCATGCTGGCTCGACCCACCCCAGAGAGAATAGACAGGATCCAGTCTCTGCTCCAGTCTTTTCGTGTGGGAGCAGCACCCCCAGTCCAACAGTGGCTGAGACTGTTGGGGATGCTGTTGGCCGCCAGCTTTCATACCTCTGGGGCTGCTTCATCTCCAGCCCTAGCAAAGGTGGTTCAGTGGCCTCCACAAGGACCCCTGGTTGCGTCGGTGGGTCAAGGTGCGGGTTACACCCAGCTGCGCAGCTCTTCTTCGTCGTTGGAGAGAGAGAGTATGTGGATACAGCATGGGGTCCCCCTCGGCGCAGTCCCGGTGAGACGTGAGGTGGTGACAACAGTTGCATCGCCCCAGGGGTGGGGGGCGATATGGCAGTGCAGGTCTGTTCAAGGGCGATGGAACCCTCAACAGAGACATCTCCACATCAATGTCCTAGAGTTGAGGACGATTTATTTGCCACTGAAGCACTTCTCAACCATTCGAGGGCAAACATGTTCTTATTCGAATAGACAGCACCTCAGCATTGTTCCACGTCAACCATCAGGGTGGGACCAGGTCACTGCAATCCCTGAGGGAGGCCCAGAGTCTATGGACCTGGGCGTACCCTCGTTTTGCTTCCGTCAGAGCGATGCATCTGTCTGGGACAAGGAACTCTGTCGCAGACAATCTGTCCCGCCAGAGGTTTCCTCCATGGGAATGGAGGCTGCATCCTCAGGTGGTTCAGAGGATCTGGGATCGGTTTGGCAGGGCCCAAGTGGATCTTTTTGCCTCAAGGAGCAATACACACTGCCCCTGGTGGTTTTTCCTGGCAGAGGTCAGCTCCCCACTGGGGATGGATGCCCTTGCCAACATGTGGCCCGCCGGTCTGCTGTATGCCTTTCCCCCATTTCTACTGCTTCTGCCCACTCTCCACCGAGTGGGACGGTCGATGCAGAGAGTTGTTCTGGTGGCTCCCAAGTGGCCCATGAGAGTCTGGTTCCCTCTGCTCCTCAGTCTGCTGGATGGGGAGTCGTGGCGGCTTCCGGTCAGGGGGGACCTCTTATCCCAGATGGAGGGGAAGGTCTGGCATCTGTCTCCAGGTCACCTTCTCCTCACTGTGTGGCCGCTGAGGGGGGCTGGCAGCCTATAGCAGGTCTGAAGCCTTCCATTTAGCAAATAATCCAGAATGCCAGAGCGCCATCCACAATGAGGACTTACACTCATTGTTGGCAGTTTTTCAGAATGGAGCAGGCACAAGGGGGGTGGATCCAGTTTCTTGTTCCTTGCAGGACATCCTGAGGTACCTACAGGGTCTGTTTGATGCTGGACAGGCTGCATCAACCCTGAAGGTGCACTTAGCTGCCATCTCGGCTAATCATGGAGAGATCTATGGCAGACAAGAAGGGGCACAATATTGGGTGACACAGTTTCTCCGTGGTGCAAGGAGGCTGTATCCACCCTTACAGAAGCCTGCGGCAACATGGGACCTTCCACTGGTGTTAAAGGCCCTTAATGGACCTCCTTTTGAGCCAATGTGTGCAGCCCCTTTAAATCTGGTGTCTCTGAAAACTGCCTTCCTTTTAGCAGACAACGCCTAAACGAGTCAGTGAGCTCCATGCTCTTGCCATCACCCCTACCTGCCTGCGCTGGAAGGCAGACGGGTTGGGGGTAACATTATGGCCGAACATCCCCTTTCGTCCCAAAGTTCTGCCTCCGGGCTATATAAACACAGTCATCGAGCTGGGGGCATACTGTCCTCCCCCATTCCACTCTGAGGAACAGAGGTTGGCAAACATGCTGTGCCCAGTTCAGGCATTGAAGCTGTACATCGTGGCTACGAGGGCTATTCGGCAATCAGACCAGCTGTTTGTGTGCCATGGTGGGAAGAATAAGGGGTGCGCCCTGTCAAAACACAGGCTGTCGAATTGGGTTGTTGGTGCCATTGCGCTAGCTTATTAATCTGTGGGGGCTGCTGCCCCCTCTGGGATTGTATGCCACTCTACCAGGAGTGTGTCTACATCCTGGGCAGCGATGAGGGGCATGCCACTGGGAGACAACTGTGTGGCAGCGTCCTGGGCTACATCATGCACGTTTCTACCGCCTTAATATGGGCCACGAGTCCACTCTGGCCGCGGTGATCCTGCCTCTGGCTTCCTCTACCTCCTAAGGTGGTGAGTACTGCATCCCTCATGACATTGCTGGCATAAGTCATCCACTTTAACTGTCACTGGCAGTCAGGAAGGAATGAAACAGAACGGAAGTTACACTGTAACTAAGGTTCTGTGAATTCCTGGATGACTGCCAGTCACACTGGTCACTAGGAACTTCTTCCAGTGAGAAGATCCTAGGAGACCAAACGTAACCACCTGCATGCTATTTATAGACTCACGCTCAGGTGAGCTACGTGTCACGTAGGCGACTTTGTTTATGTCGTGGCAAGAATGGTCAGAAACACGGCGAAAAGGTGTTAGAAAGACAAATAGTCTTGCGGGTATGATCATAAGTCATTTATTGATGGGCAGACATGAAACAGAAAGCAATCAGGAAGTCTGTTAGATCCTGCCGACAACGCCAACTGTTATGGCAATATTTATTTAACAACAGAGACAGAAATACGCTGGTCCAAGAATGAAGGTACTCCGTGGGATGATCAGCTGAGTTTTATTGCAACAACAGGAAACACAGAGAACGTGGCCTATCTCTGTGCCTCTGCTTCTCTCTGTCAGTCTCTCCACACTGCTGTTGAACACTGTTCACTGCCGAACTCTGTTGCACACTGTGTCTCGAGAGGCCTCATATACAGCATTCTGTCATCTAACATCGTGTGAGAATGAACAACCAATCATAACCTGCCCCATCCTGATACACGGAAATAGGTCAACTCGATGATGACGTCCGGAGGATATCACAAGATATGAAAAGTGGACAGTGTCAAGGTGATACAGAAATAAGTATTCCACAACAGTTTACATTAAATTTCGACCTGCGCAGAGCGCGAGAGGACATATCCACTTTGTGTAACTGCCACTGGCAGTCAGGGAGGAATTCACAGAACCTTAGTTACAGTGAAACTTCCGTTGCACAGCTTTCACCCTCAGCTTTTAATAATGTTGATCAGTAATATTTAAACACCTCACTTAGTGCTTTTAAATTCAGCAAGTGCTAATCCACTAATGGATGCAAAAATCAGCATAAGCCCTAAAGCGTTGACCAGGAAATTAGTTCCCCTATGAGTGCTTTAGGGGAACTGTGCCCACCAGATGCTACATTTTGCTTCAACTACTTGCTTCCAGAATCCAACTGTTGTAGCTAGAAGCAAACATTTATGAAGACAGTCGAGCAGCCAAAGACTTGTGGATGACAGAGACATTTTGCTCAGAGAAATCTGTCTGCAGAAAAGTGTGCAGCTTTAAACAGGAAAGACTTGTGGAGTGTGGAACACGGCGCAGTGACATGCAGGGGGAGGGGCTTCCCAGGAGCTCGGCGCGGTGTGTCTCAGGAGCTAGAAAAGGTGTGTGTGTGTGAAACCATGTGACCGCACGTCGACTGCTCAGTTTCAGATGGAGTATAATGAGGCTTAACTTGTTTGGTTTCTGGGATCTGACACCTAATGACTTTAAAGGGGCAATATCATGTAAAATCTACTTTTGAGTTTTATATCATGTTATAATGTTGTACTCTCATAAAAAACATGTCCAAGGCCTTGCTCTGACTCATTCATCATGTTTGAGAAATCCTGCAGTGTTTTTATGAAGCCATGCTGAGGAGCAAAACGACAGGTGGGGACCAGAAACACCTTTTGGTACCAGGAACACCTCTGGGACGTGTCTTTAAGCTGAACTTCCTCATGGCAGAGCACCCCTCCCCCCCTCCCCACACACCCCGCCCATGACTCCTGCAGGCTCTCAACAGTAACAGCAAACTGAAAGTGAAACCTAACTGTCTGCTGAGCTCTCAACATTAGTTCTCACTCAGTGAAGCTCTTTACAGATTCAAACTACCTTTGAGGAAATGTATTTTCAGATGCCAAGTAAACTGCATCATGCCCCCACGCACCGAAATGGGCGGGACAGAAGCAGAAGGAGGTTCTTAAAGAGACAGAGGCCAATTTCAAGATGTTTAGAAGAGGAAGCGATGAGAAGATAAGTTTATTTTTCTATTTAAACATAAGAACAGCATTTTAATAACAGCTAAAGGTGACATAGATACTTTATTATGGTATAGTATTTAAATATATGTCTGAGAAACAGAATATTGACCCTTCAAAACAAACAGTTGAGCTGTTTTATATCTTGTTATAAGCTCTTTAGTTGGCCTCAGTTTTGAGAAATAGGTTGTTCAAAGAGCTCTCTACGACAGTTAAGATATTAATTAGTCACAGTATTTCCATTGAATCACACTTCTAAAGGCCTGAAATATCATTTGAATAGAAGAGGTGTCAGTAGAGAACACTTCCTGTGAATCTGTGACTGAAGAACTGCACAATCCTTCTGACGTCCTGTGCAACGAGGACTTCACAACTGAAGATTTGTGCTATGAGAGGACGTTTGGAGAAAGAAAACAGGTCCTAAAACATCTCACCGGCAGTTGAGCAGCTCAATCATGGTTTGTATATTTCAAAGACTGAAAAATTTTCTTTTGATTTTTGTTTTTACAGAATCACTGGAATAAAAAAAGATGCAAATATCCTACTTTATGTGAAAAATGACAGATTTCTATCTGACCTGCCGTCTCTTTCTCCACGTAGAGAGGTCTGCTTGTAGACAGCAGGGGGCTCCTGAGGGCCAACTCATCCTCGTTTTCTGTCAGCGCTGCAGACAGAAGAAGAACAGGGTGAAATGTATCACTTTCAGTCCAAACAACAGCTTATTTTAAACATTATTCTGTGTTCAAGAACCTGGAGGGATATGAAGGCGATACAGCAGCCGTATTTTATCACTCAGCTCCTGACAGAACAAAGTGTCTAGAAAACAAAACAAAAATAAAAACGCTGTATGTGGGTTCTTGGTTTTATCTACTCCATCAGTAAGCCCCTCCTCCTTACCCAGCCAGCAGGCAAACTCTCTGAAGGTGACCAGGCTGTCGCAGTTCTGGTCCAGCAGGGTGAAGGTGCGGTTGGCCAGCGTGTCGCTGTGCTGGTTAGTGACCGAGGGCCACGGCGCCAGCAGCCCGTACAGGCTCTTAAACTGGGCTCGGTCCACTCGGTACTGGCGCTCCACGAAGGAGCGGCTGGAGTCGCTGTGCTGCCAGGCTGCTGCCTCTGCTGCTGCTGCGGAGCAGCAGTCGCCCCAGTACAGACTGATGAAGTGCTCCGTCTGAACCAGGGACAGCAGGTCAACAAAAACACCAAACCCTCTGACAGCTGGAGCTCAGCTGTTCACAACAAATACCTTAAACAGATCGTAGATGTCAGAGAGATGTTCAGGAGAGAGGGAGACCTCAGGGGTGACAAGTCGTATCTGCACACAAACACACAACCAAACACAAATTACAACTCAGCAGTGGTGGGCAGCGCTAATCCAAAAATTAGCTCCGCAATTTCTAAAGCGCTTATGAAAATATTTAGGTCCAAAACTTTAAAAGCGCTTATGCCAAATGAAAACTAGCAGAAGCTAATTTTAAAGCACAAGTTCAATGTGACACTTACTAGCTGACAACAATTTATGTACAATATATGTTCAACACTGCCACCTAGTGGTGTATGAACTCTTTTACAACGCTGCGTTCACACCAAACGCAATTTCAGCTTCAAAATCTCATCCAACACTTCACGTTGGACACTTGTGCACTCTGAGGTCAGACGCAGGTCAGCTCTTGAAGCGCTGCACGGCTACAGCCTCCCCGCCCCTCCCTCCTCTGTCGGGCTCTGTTTAATGTCGGACCAGGAAGTGGCTTTGCTTTATTTACAGAGGGCAAGAGCATGTCACGTTCATCAGATAATTAATTCATAATTAATTCACCAGATAATTCAGAG